GTGTCATATTTCCACGGGTCTCCAGTTGTGGTTCGATTTTCTTACACAATATATTTACAGCACTCCCCAAGTTCAACTGCCTGTATTTGCAACCTTGCGTGTGATTCTCAAAGATTACTCCAGATACTTTCCTCGGTCAAACTGCAGCGTATTTGACCAAGATACACTAAGATTCCAGTCTCAAAGTTGACGGATTTCTAATACTAGCTAAATAGCTAAGTCGAATTCAACCGCTGTCTTGCGGAGAAAAGGCTTCTCTGATCGATGGTTTTCTGTGGATTCTCCGATCAATATCAGGCGAAAGTCGAACAGTACCTTAACACCTAGGCTACGAACGGTTTGAAATCTTTCCTTCCTCATCCTTGTGCCATTACACACATATATGTGCAATTACTTGTAGTACACTACTGTATATATCGTTAGCTTAGAGCTCACCCCGGCTGGAGCCTTGCACCGATGGTGCAAACAGCTGGAGAGAGAAACTCGCGGAAGCCCACATGTAAGTCAGCACCGGATCTTTCATTCTGGTGGGGAAATACCACCGACACGGGATATTACATACACTAATTTTCGGAACCAATGAATATAGCGGTTGTCGCACCCAAATAATAGTTTAACAATATTTCCGAGAAGGAAAAAGAGAACAATTCTTATAAAACAGAGGGCACATCATTTAAAATGTATAATTTTTTAAAAGAACAAAATACTTACTATGAACAAAATGAATGCTTTAATCATTGTCATCACTTTCATAGTCACTCGATAGGCTAACATCTTTACCATGACTACCTTTTCCACGTTTTCACCAGAAGTATTTGGTGATTGATAAAATCTCTCTCAACGCTTAGAACTTCGATTTATTTATATTTATTTATTTTGCTACTTAGGGTTGCATCAACTTCTAGGTCATTAGCGACCACTATTGCGTGTAATGGTATGGTAACTGTGAGGGTGACGCGATATGATAGGGGTGAAAAGTCGAACACAATACATCCATGCCCGAGGCGGGGTTCGAACCCGCGATCATTCGGTCCGAGATCGCTACGACACTACTGTTTCCTAGTTTCGATTTCTTTGTTTTGGACATTTTTCAGTGTATCATTAAACGATACTTTTTTTTTGGCTTCCTGCTCAAAATATGTTCAGAGCAGAGCACAGTAACCAGGACCAGCAATTAGTACGTTGTACAATATGTTGTACCAGCTAACGGCAATAACGTGGCCTTTCATAGAGTAAATGACGTAAATGTAGATACAGTTCATCTAGGAATTTTGGCGGTTGTTAGGTGAGAACGTTGTTAGTTAAATGTCATTTTTTCATACAACGAAATGGTATGATGTCGGAAACTCAAAAACAAAAACAAAAAAACAAAAAAACGCAATATCCTTTGTACATCATACGACTTGGTTGCATTTTAAGTAATCATTTTTCCAACACAAAGAGAACAATTCATTCTTGTAAAATCCACCTGAACAGTTTTTCTCTCTTCAAGAAGAGGACATGTCCGCGGAAAAGAGGGCCCTAATAAATAATCATCAGTCAAAATATTAACATGGTTTGAGAGGCATAGTCGAGTACTAAAATGAATAGTGGAATCACTGCATCCACTCAACAACAAAAAAGGGTATATACGGTACGTACTTGGCGAGAGACCTATTCATATTAATGAACCCACAACAACTAGTACTTAGATGTAGAAAGCCATGGAGATGGCTGAAATGCACTGCGTTTACATCACTCGTTTGACAAATTACACACGTGTATTAAAGGTAATTGAAAATTTTACGTAAATTTACGTAAATGAATGAATTCATTTTGTGTATTAAATTGTATAATATTATACAATTGCTTACACTGATATCAAGTACTGTGTTTAAAAGTTATGGAGCTTTACCCCCATGAATCTCACGGGCATCCTTTGCACTTCAGTTGACTTGACTATTTAGATAACTATTGGTGATGAATGAAGATATTTTGAATGCGAAAACGGTACTTCCGTGTCCTGTATGACTAAGCTATATATTAAGTAGGTGATTTCGTTGTTATGTTATCTTTTCTTAGCAACGTTGTTATCTTTTTCAAGCTATTATCTCTTGTTATGTTCTAACATTCACGTTTCGTAGTATTACCACTCCAGATCACGTAAGGCCATAATCCAGGCATTCAAACCTTCACCTACTGTTTGGGTCAAAATATCTCCTGCATTGATCCATGGAATAGAATTCATTTTATTTGTGTTATGAAACAATTTCAGCATTTCTTTCACGATTGCTTTTAGAACCTAAGGTACTTGTAATTTTCATATTATTCATACAACCCAAAATTGGTTTTTTCGATAGAGACAGCATTTAACACAAGTGTAAATGAGAAAGAGTGTAATTTAAAAGAGAGAAAGAGAGAGAGAAAGATAAGAGCAACGAATTTATTTTCTGGTTAACAACAAACATGACAATATTTAGAAATCGTTCTAAAAAAATATTTGAATTTCCTCAAGCCAGGCGTCATGAGTGAAGCAACAGAAGTATGTTGATCGCCAAAAGTAGCGCTGCAAGTTCCAGCCAAGTGGTCTTGCATCCATGAGGGAGCCCAGAAGTCGAGGCGCAGCGGGTCACCGCGGTTTGGAACTCGCTGGCACCCGTCCAACGCATTGTGTGTGTTAGTCACGCGCCTAGGCCCCGCGCAAACCTCGTGATTCGCTATTTTCGATATGACTTCCTTTTGCATTCATCTGCCGATTTGTTTCGTGCTTACGCATTTGTTTCCTTGCGATGACAATCATTCTCCAAAACAAGACGGTGTGATATGATTTATGAAAATCTCCGTGTGTTCTTTGAAGTATTATCAGCCGGCACGTGTAACTTCGCCGATAAGTGGCCATTTCGAAAGTATATCGGCAGTTCTTTTGGAAACAACGAAGAAGGCATGCGTCATATTTTGCAGTATTCCTTACATACATGTATAACGAAATGGCTGGATTAGACTGTAATTTAAAAGTGGTTATTGAGAAATATTGATTCACATTTTTTCCTCGTACTATAACATCACGGGTATACGAAACATGTAATTACCGTGATCAAAATCATTTCAGATATATTTTGCCAAATTATTTTGTTTATCAAAATAGTATATAGATTTCCACAACAGCCCAGATAGTCTTTGTAACTTCATGTAATAAATGTCTTTAACCATAATATATGTTTCATCATAGTGCATTTCTTGTGCAAAAGAAGATTCAGCAAGACTTGAGATTTTCCGATGTTATTATTTGAGTATTTTAATATCTTTCCACGTTAATGCTACAAATCACGATGTGTGACACATTTTAATACTGATGTACTATATGTTTGATAAAATGCTTGTGGGTTCAACGTCTCGATTTTTTCCTTCCCATGAAGTTCACATCCGTGAGCGACCCCAGACCTCGTGGCGCAGCAGGTCGCTGCGATTCACGCGCATGCTCCCGGCGCCTTTGTTTCAGCGCACTCATTAACATTAATCTTGGCGTACAGGCCCCACAAGTAACAAACAGGTCCATTGTTGATATCTCTACATGCCTGCAGAATAACACACGTATTCTGAATGAAAATTTGTCTCTGTAAAATAGCATAACCCACCATACGTCACTGAACGAAAAATATTTTCATTGACAATCGGCTTGCACAACAATATATTTTAAGCAATTCTCAAACAATAACTTTTTTTAATGAATTCTATGATCGCTGATTCGCAAAAAATAGGACAAACTATGAAACACCCTTAAGATGATGAAATAATACATGTTGGAATTTCACATTAATTTTTTTTACGTGTATTAATTACTATTCTAAACAACGTAAACTAATCGTAGGTGGTATCCATTTACTGAGTTTAAGAAACGGGTCGCAACAGAGGTTTCGTAAACTTGCACAACAGACGATAATAAATGCTGCAGAGAAAAGCTGTCACAAGTCTTTCTCCACGCGCGAGAAACTAGTATAACTTACAGGAACGCCTTCGAGATAACAGATAGTAGACATTCATGCAGTAAACATTCCTCGGCGTGTTTGAATCGCTAAGATATTTGTGATGATTAATTCTTGTCCACTGACAAATTAGTTGTTCTTGTACTACGTCACGAGTGTTCAAATCTAGAGTCATTTTGTTTTAATCTATCGCCGCGTTTGTGCCGCCAATTCATCGGCGAACGTTGCAAATGTCATCGCAGTTAGACTAATCTTCCCATTGTCAAGGCGGAGACCTGCCATTGTAACTAATGCGCTGGGCCGCGCTGGTAATGAGCATTCGATGTTCTTTCATTGCGTCGTATGAATTTAATTCATGGTATAATATAGAAAGGAATGTCGTCAGATAACATTCTTTCACGTACAATTTCGTTTTGTTGTGATGGTTGTTTCTTTTTCCGTGGAGACAGAATGATGTTATATCGGGTTCCAAAGCGAAACGGATTGTGCCCACATGCTGAGTTTTTGGATCAACAATTTTTTATTTCCACCACACCTTCGATATATTTTGTAAAATAGTATTTTATAATAAACAAATATTTCATTACTGCTAATTCTTTACCTTCAATACTTCTTTACGCCTGTACAACCTTAACAAATATGGCCTAATTCAATATGTGCGTCCGGTGAAACGTTAGACGCTGGGAAATGTTCCCAAGTGTCCCTCTTCGATTTTCTAAATCTTCAATGTATTGTAACAAATGAAGAAATAAGACGTATGTACTTTTATTTACAACAGAAAAGTCTTTCAGAGGAAAGAAATCACTCTCGAAAAGAGAATTCATAAAAAAATTTTGGTATGAATAAAAATGCAAAATTTTCGAGTAAACGCAGTATTACAATCAATATCAATACGTTAAAAATCTATATTACCAAGATACATTAAGAATCCACTTAGAGTATTATTCTGTTGATATTGCAGTAAAGAGTAAACTACTTCCAAATATACAAAACGTATTTTAAAATCCTACCTAACATAACAAAATGAAAAGGAAACATTCAAAAAGAAAATGATATATTTTTGACATTCACTCCATTTTTTAAATTTTTTTTCTGGAAGGTTTCTAGAAAAATATTATGCTAGGTAAGTAAATCTATTGCAAACATTATTCATAAAATTTTATTGAAAACCTACAAAAATAGTCGGATAAAAACATTTAGCATATTGTGTAACTCGTTAAGTTACTTCGCCATCACTACTGCTTCTGAATATTCTTCGAGGTGTCCGTGCGCTTGGTTTGTTAATGTAGAAGTGTTGGAATATGCATGTTTTATTCGAAGTTTGTTATTTTCGAATATGCATTCTGATTTTCTTATTTATACACTAATGTTAAAATTATTACTCATCTCCAATACATTTACTTACTAATGTCTGTTAGTTACTACGACACGTCAGTGGCTAATAGCCATCTAAAGAGGTTAGATGAACAAACATAGACACAAGAAGGTAAACATATACACGTAGAACAGCAAACTACACTTCGCACCTACCACAGCTATGACGAGTTAATGGCCACGTTAATATTGGTACACTACTGACATGGTCGCTCACGCTGCGATGCGCCTTCAGCCTCGTTTCGAAGGACGGGATGTTCGATTCCGGCGTTAGACATGGATGTGTGCTTGCGTGTTGCGACACTAAGGGCCTCTTCTTGCCACCGCATATTAATGACCAACCCTTTTCTTTCCGTTTCCGACAGTCACTGGGAGTTGGTGGATTTTGCGCCCAAGTACGCGGTACATCCAGGATTCCAGGATTCGAATCCTGCGCACGGTATGGATGTAATATTGTGGCACGGTGTGCTTTTCTAGCATTTTAACCTCTAATTCTATCCATCATTTTTCCCCATATCCGGTAAGTTGTGAAATTGGGAATAAGACCAGATGCGCAACGCGAGGCCTTACGGGTGTCAGGCCTCCATCGAGGAGGTGTAATCTGTCTTGGCTCCCTTCGTATACACGAGGACTAAGCGCGATGTACTCACGATTTGCACTTGTTCGTCTGCGAGTACAATAAATAACAAAGGGAGTGCGAGTCACATGGCGCAATTGTAAGGGAAACTGGTACCTACCACGGGGGTTGGATCTCGAGTAACAATGCACCGGGGGAGGAGACGTCTCTAGGCACCAATTGATTGACTGATAAGTGATTCTAAGAACATTAACGGTTGTCATTAGTTCCGTAAGTGTAGTGCACGTTTCTATCGCGGGAGCGGTGACATTCCACAGCTTGGTGGCGAGATTCGGCGCCGACCTACTCGTCGTCTTGTGGGTTTCCCCTCAACCAGGTATCTCCCTCCAGCCGGAAAAAGCTCTAAGCTTCCGACTGGTCTCCCAGCATGTGCGGTGGTATAATGCATGTAATTGCCTGTAGTATGAAACCAGAATACAATATTAACGGAGAACATATTATTGTTATTGTTATTATTGTTATTATTGTTATTATTGTTATTATTGTTATTATTGTTATTATTGTTATTATTATTATTATTAATTTTATTATAAAATGATACAAAAGATAACGACTTTCTTCAAAAGAATACTGCACCCCGGATGTATAAACGTCGAGCATCAATATTTCTATTAGTGTATGTGTATTTATGGGCGAGACATTTTTCATTTAAGAAAGACTGCAAGACGTCAACGAAATCAAAACGTCGGTTTTGACAAGAAAGTCCGCATGATTGATGTTTGCAATAAACGATTGCGATTGTGATCACGCCCTGAGTGATTGCCACTGATTCATGGCACGTCGCCACAATGTCTGGTTTTCACCATGTGACCTGCGAACGACCCCCACACGGAGGGGAAGACCCTGGTGACTTCGGAGTCGGGAATACCGTTACAAGAGGTTGCGTATGAATGAGGGGCCGCCGCCGCCGCCCTCGCCGTGCCGCGTCGCCTCGTCTCTCTCTGCCGTTGTAGCCCCCGGCGAGAGCTTCTACAAGAACCGCACAGGTCGCGCGGATTGGAAAGTCTGGATGAGTAAGGGCGTGATTCACCTGCTGCCTGACAAGCTACGGCCCGGGCCTCGACTGCGGGCGGGCGGGATAGAGGGCGGGTGGGTGACGGGCTGGGGAGATGGCGGGCGGACTAGCGGTCTGGCAGACTGGGAGGTGACGGGGATGACAGGCAAGGGAAGTGGCAGACTGCCGGAAGGCAGGCGAAATGGCGAGAGAGCTGGCAGTATAACAGTGAAAGGATTGACGGGCTGGCAGGAAGGCGGAAATGCGACAGGGAAGTTGGGATGGTAAAATGGGCGAGCAGGTGAGATGATTCGGCGTCCGGTTGTTCTGTTTGTAAGCGGGCTGACGGGGAAGTCAGAATGGCGGGATGATAGGATTGGAGGAAGGCATGGCGGGTTTCGGTCTGGATGGGCCATTGAGTGGCAGTGTGGTGGCCTGGTAGGGGATTAACACATGTTGGTTCCTGCGTCACACATAGCGGCGGAAAATGTTACGTGATGTAATATGCATTGCAAAGACGGCGTGGAGCAAAACATGCCCATTAACTTGTCCATTTTCCCCGTTCTTCGGGCATTCCTCGGGTCACATAACCTACTACGTATGAATGAGGACGGAACGTCAAACGAGGAAGAAGATTGATCAGAAGTTTTGCGGTGTCACAAAGACTGAAGTGTAAATATTTTCTTTCTTTTTTTTCTTCTTAGTGTAGATCCCGCACTATTGCAGAGACCACAAGACCTACGCAATCCGTGGCAGCGTAACAAGGTTTCGACGGGATGGATTAGGATCGGACTGACTCTTCCACGGCGCTCGGTTCCAGACTGGGAGCAAGTTGCCTTGGCGCTAACAGTCTCCGGTTTTTAAGTGTAAATAAATTATTTATTTTTGATAAAAGAATGAATAAGTTTTTTAAGTCGTCCAAAATATGTGGACTTTTTCAGTAGCTATTTTCGCATTGTTTGTCTATAAAATTGTGTAAAATTTCTCTTGAACAATTCGGTCACTTGACATTTGAGAATATTTAGTTGTTGAACGCTGAATAAAGTTTGGGTAGGCATATTCCATGTGACGAATGCAATCTGTGTTTCTGCTCTCTCTGCTGGCAAGACATCAATGCGAATTAGAAATGAAGGCAAAATCCTTTCTGCGCCAGTCGCAGTAGGAAGTTGTTTTAAGTATTCACACAGGATGTAGTGTACCGGAAATCAAAATGACAATATAGGAGGAAAAGAAAAGCCTGTTTGCAGAAAAGTAATAAGATGAATGTTACCCCGACTTTGAGAAGACAAAGCTAGTAGATATTGACGTTTTATTACTTGTTTTCAGTTCTATGAAGAAAAAATCTCTAGTATCTTGATGATCTTACGCTTCTAACCTCAAATCACTACACCATGAAAGGAATATATTTTACTACATAAAGCCCTGTTATTATTAAATATTTATTTTTGATTAACGAGAGAGCTTTTCAAATCTACACCTCAATCACATAAATTGATGACCCTGTTCCTACTGAACTGTGCAAAAAAATATCTTCCCGGTCAACGCAAAATTTATTCAATTCTTCTTCAAATGTTATTTTTCTAGCATCCGTTTTTCGCCGTTTGCATTGAACAACAACCTCCCGTCTACTTAATATGCCATCGAGGTGTCCCGTACGGATGTCATCAGCCTCGTACTCCATGTTTTACGATGTCGTAGCCCGAGAATTCCAACAAATCACTCGTTAGGCATGTAAAACACAGACTGCGCACCCGCAGACAACCTGCCATCAGGGACGAATTGGGCGCCCACGGAACCGGAATTGCCTCCACACGATCGGTTTGTAAACACACGCATCTTTTTGGTAGTCGTTTTCGGAAAAAGATATGTCTTCTCCGTTCTTATCGAACCTGCCGGCACGTCGCCTTTCCCAGAAGGAAAGAAGCATAGCAGAAAGAGGCAGAAACATAGATAACGATTTCTTCTTGCGGTCGGCGCTAAAGCACAACATCCTGCGACGGAACGCACATGCGTCATGGCGTCGAACTACTTCGGCCCTTACGTCATTTCCTCGGATTCGCAGGCCATGGGTCCCGTCGGCCGCGGCGGCGGCGGTCGAACCCGCTATTATGGCGTGCATAACATTACGAGATATAGGCTAATCACGCTTTCACGTGGACATTTAGCAGAGAGAGGCGCGCGTTTCCCCCCGGCCGCTGTGGGAGGTCCTCAGCGCCGAAGAGGTACGTCATTAGGGTCTGTACCTTGTATCCTGTCGGTTTGCCTGGTCGCCAGAGGTTTGCCCGTCCCCGCCCGTCCCGGATAACTGCATACGCTACAACACACATGTTCTTGCCGACCACTTTCTGCCCATTTTTGGTTCAAGGACTTCATTTACTCGTTTCTGCTTCGTGAACAGGCGGTTTTCCCACTCCATCGAAGTGATTAAATGTGCAAACTGCAAATACATATAAATTAGTATGTTCGGAAAAGGATAAAAGGGGCCGCCACATGAATCATTCTGAAAGAGTGGGCGGAAAAATTAAAGAATTCATTTGAAAATATTTGCGGCAAGACAGAGGAAAACTTCCTGCGTAAGCACTTCAGAGACCTCCCTCGTTTTCCGCTACAGATAAGTCAATACGTAACATGTAAATCTTAGCGCCGAGTTCTTCAAATTTAAGTTGTGGAAAACCTTTAAATGTAAGTTTTTATTATGTATTATTTTGACTTACAAACGTTTTCATAAAATTCTGGCAGAAATAAAAACTGATAAAATAATTAATAATAAGCGGCGTAGTTGATAGTTTACGCAAAATGTCACTCCTCTACATCCACTATACTCAAATAATACTGGTATATATGTCAATTCCCAAGAAATTGGAATATCCAATATTGCAGTATATTAGATCCCCGAACAGCAACCATTATCAAATAACATATACCAAAAAGCAATCACCGATACTATTATTATTATTATTATTATTATTATTATTATTATTATTATTATCATTGTTATTATTATTATTTCTTATAATAATGAATTTCACGTCATGATTATTATAAAGATTTAATGTAAAAGTTAGGATTAATCACTTCACACATTTTCACACAGTAGCTGTTCTCCACATTCGTTTAAAAAAAAGGAAATATAGAACGATTCGAGATGCTTTGTAGATGAAGTCAGCAAGGTAAAGCCATCACAAGAATTTTCCCTCGTTGAATTCTGCTAAATGGAAAGTAGGTTGTCAACGTTCCTTACTGCGCCTTTACTTGGTGACGATGTTCAAGAACACAATCGACATGCACAATAGCGTTTTTGTTTTATTATGGACTGTCAACGCATAAATTGTCGCATAGTAGTGGGCTTTCCGGTTCGTGTACGTGGAGTAATGCATCACTGAAACACACGTCAGCGACAGACAACAAGTAAGCTTACAAAAACCGGAGACGTATATGGCCAAACGACGAGAAAGCTCTCCATAAAAAAAATACAACTGATGGTGAAGTTTATGAAGAGAAATATGTTGTCGGTAGAATAGTACAAGAGGCAACACGTTAAGGAACTTGGGAACTCGTGAAGTGTTGATTACTGGCACAAGTCGATATTCGAACTTCTGTATGAGCTCTGGCTAGCTACATTTATTTATTTATCGTTTGGTAATTTGTTTATTTATCGTTCAGAAGCAAGAATCTCTTGGCATCGTCTGGTCTCTCCACTAAGGGATTTTAGTTCAGAAGTGGTCATAACAACAATAGCAAACATTTAATAATAAATAATAACAAATTAATAATAGTTATCATAATTTTTGCATAGGTTTTATTTTTTCCATAATTTATCTCCCATCTCAATAAAGTCGGCTGATTGTGAGCGGCAAAGCCTCATTCCCTGCTTGAGTACTTCCTGGCATTCTCCCCATCGTTATTGGCGGCAGGTATTTATATTTCTATCTTCAAAAAGCGGTAAAAACAATATGAGACGTATGAGGAGAGTACAGAGACGAAAACCTATGGTGAAATACTGACAGGGAGAGAAGAGGAGGTTGGAGATGGTATCCATTTTGGGGGAAGTAATAACTGGAAAATCTACCGTATTTGGCAGAAACGCCGAGTCATGTTGAGTTAATGTCCGTAAATAACATATTAAATAAAAATTAATTCCTTAGTACGATATTTTAATTGCAACAAATAATATTAATGAAACATTTACAATAGAGAAAAATATTTCATGTCCATTAACTGCACACAAATGGAAAATAAAAGATGTTGTAAACGACTTCAGGCATACAATAGAACGCGTTGTCTTGGCGAAGTTGCTCAGTTATCTTCCTCTTTGTGCGGTCGTGGATACAAGTGCTGCAGCTACTGCTCTTTCCACCACGAGAATTGTTTCCCGCCTACGATAGAAAGTGCAAAATGTATCCTCGCATTTGTGCACCTGCGCGGGTAGCGAGCTCAAGAACAAGTTTTACTGCCTCCGAGCGATCACATAACACCGCAAGCACTCAAACGTCAGTCGTACTTGTTTCTTTCTTCCGCAGCTATATGAATCACTCTTTTGTGCTCCAGTCTTCGCACATGGCAAACTCTTCTGAGGAGAACTAATTGTAGAGCGGTCAAACGAGATTCCAGAAGTAAATGTGGGCTGCGAAATATAACAAAATAAATAAACAATTAACGATTGTGGTGAAGATACATCAGCTACCAGGTATTATATTCGTTCCTCTTTTATTCAATATGTGGTGTACATTTAAAGAGTTCTCATAATAAACTTATTCATTTTCATTCCTTCTGTTATACGTTTAGAGAAAGAACGTGGCTAAAGAGAATTAACTCAAGTTATAAGAGGGTAACAAAGAGTAGTTCTCTCATTGAGATAGAGGAGGATTTATGTAAGTCAGCGTCTGGAATATTCCATCTACTAATACTTAAATTCACGGATACCACCCTTTCATTAAATTATGTCTGTGTAAGATAACGTTTCCTGATACTGTACATCGAATACACTGTTTCCCAATGAGCAGTTCTTTTTATCTTTTTGCTAATTATAATTATGCAATTTCTGCTAATTATACGTTATCAATGTTACTGGTAGTTTGAAATAATGAAACAAATCTTTGTATATTGTATAAGTTATCTATTTCATCAGTATACTCCATTAATTCTTAACGTTTTCATGATTTACAATTTCGAAAACTGTGATTTCTGAATTTTACTTCTTTATTGTTTTTTTATACTCCGATTATCAGTTCCAGATCCGGAAACTGAGAAATAGGAGAACGTAAAGCGTTTTTGATGCAAATTCATCATTAGCGGTGATTGTAAATTATCTCTTGAAATATTAATATATCATCGTTCAAAAAAAGACATTTAATACAAATATATCAATGTATATTTTAAGAGTAAATATAATTAGTTATGTTTACCAATTGGAGATTTAACGGCGAGGGTGGGGGGAACATTTCCCTAAATCCGTCCCTGCGAACAACAAAAGAGGCAGACCTCATGGTATGGAATTTCGTCCTTCTGCTGTCTGCACGCGCTCACAAACACAGTGCAACATTCTTCGGAAAGCACTTGACATTGATCTCTACATACCTCACATTGGCAATGCCACACTGACCGAAGGCGCGCAGCGTTTTCCATTACAGGCCATTTTCTAGTAGCCATTGATGTATTAATATTGTAGGTGCTTTTAGAGAGTTTAGTCCAGGAAACTTCATTTTGACTTCATCTCAATCAATTACTGCTATTACTTAAAGGCGAAGTTAATAATTTTATTGTCATTAATATACTTCAAATGCAGAAAATATTATTATTATTATTATTATTATTATTATTATTATTATTATTATTATTATTATTATTATATTTCAAGTAATTGTATTTCGAAAATGCTTAATTTAAAATGTGTTTGGCAGTAAACAGAAGAAATCAGTAAAATGTATGTATGTAATATGTAATGTAGCATTTAAATACATGTGGCTAATAAAAATTGTATCATTTAATCTTTAATTATTAAATCTACATTTGCATAAAAAATTATACTGAATTTATGAAACTTGATAAAACAGTAGAATATCGGTTCTAAAAGCTCATCTTTGTGAATTAAAAATTCAATATCATATACCAAATATAATTTAGGCAAATCAAAAGCGAAATCTTATAGAAATCAAATGCAAGAAAATCTCATGCCAATCGATATTAAATAAACATTTGGGTCACAAAATAAGATAGAAACTTAGTAATAATTATTTCGAGTGTCTTTTGATACACACGTAATGATATATTGAAACTTTTAAAAATTTCTTCTATTAGAAATAACATTTTATACTGCAGATATATATGAGAGAGGACATGGGTGATTAGGTATTATATTACACTAGCTTAGCGTGGCGACCCGGGAGGCATTTTCATGTTAAAAAGCTTTATTTGTGCTTTGCATTTTCATTATAATAATACCTTTAGAACATATTTCAATAGCGCGGCTTGTCCATATTCGGGCATAGAAAGTTACACGAATAAGTAATGATTTTAAAAAAAATTAAAAATTTTCGCATTATAAAATATATTGAATCAATTCGTAACATTTCCAGGAAATGCCAGCAAGAGAGTATAGTAAATCACAGCGTATCACCATTGTATTCTTAGGTGCATTGAAACCATCAAAAACACACGTTTTTCTAGAAATATTTGAGAATAGGGAAGAGAAGGAGCTGGCCAAACAATGAGCTAAAAGATTTGCCTTGTTGAGAGGACTCCAACCTGATCACATCTGTAAGTGTTGTAAGTCACCCATAACTCGTTTTAGTTGCCTAAACCTCCTTGAGCCTTGGACGCTAGTACTGACCTTTTGTACATTTAATTAATAGGATCTATTGGCTTAGGATATTTGCATCGAATAATTCTCCTTCAGTGAATGTTTTCGAATGCATGAGGGACAAAAGTATCTTGCGAATTGGTGAAAGAATATTTCAATATTCTCTGTTGAAGGTAATCAAGCTCTTGCTAATCCATTTCTTAAAATGTTCAAACGAGAGATGGCGTGAGTGATACACTATAATAATGTATTTTCATTCAGTGTTACTTATTTACCTTAATTTTTAACGTCACAACTAGTAAAAAATGTTTATGACGTTTGGGGGGGGGGGCTGGTATGTTTCAAAAGCTTTACTAGTAAAGCTAAAGGTACCTATTTGAAAATGAAGGGAGAAATACTAGCTAGGTATATCCTCTCACCAAAATCCAAACACGAAATTCTCCTTAAGCAAAGGTAATTGCCTGATTCCGTGACCTCGCGAGTCCCGCTCGAGGTTCAGGGTCAGCGGTTATGGGCAATTCATTCACTAGTAAATAATGCACTTGGCAATCATTACGATTTTGCTTACGCTTACTTAATTACAACAGCAATTACCATACTTCCGCATTTTATTGATTATTAAGACAGAGTTCAGCAGCGTCAGCGAACAGCAGTTAATGAGTGTCATAAAGTAACGTGCAGTATCAAGGTCAAATGTGGGCACGAGCTCAGAAGTATGAAGCCTACTTGGCGTTCAGATTGGTGTATAAAATAGTTGTTGTTTCTTTCCTGCCATGTGAAAATCGTAATTCGTGTCACTGAGTTCATCCTTCTCAGCAGATGAAAATTGTTCAACGTGCAGGACTATAGCAAGATACGCACATGCACTACCTGCAAATAGGAACCGCTGCTCTGTGATTCGCCGTTGGTGGAGAGAAGCCAGAATAATAAATCATTAAAGACGAAAAAATAAAGAAATAAAAATCTAGATTACGCTATTGATTTATTTTAAACCCTTGACATGCGCCGGCACCGATAGATCATGGTACTTGCGTTCCGTTGCCAGGCCAGACCAGGTGGTTCTAGGCTCGCGTCATTTCATCAGTTCATTACCAGAACAGGAAGCATTCATTGTTTCAGTTGTTATCTTTTGACATCCCTACCACAGAAGCTGATTTTAGACAAATGGATAGGCCCAATTCAGCCGCTGTAATAAGAATTTTAGCCGCCGACTCTTCTGAAGGTACACTGCCGCGGTTTTATCGATACCGCGCGAATGTCGGAATAGTACCTTAACAAACGGGATACAAGCCACGGACCGCGTGCGATCTTCCCTACCCCATCCTTGGCCTCTCCTCTTCCCTTCTCCACACGCATGGGCACATAAATGCTCTACACTACCACAGATAGTCGGAAGACTAGTCTAGGTACCTGGAGGAGGGAATCCCCTGATACCGACATGTAAGACGGCACCGTATTTCACGTTCCAGCGGAGAAGGTTGGTTGGTTGTAAGCGATTCCGGGGACGTAAACTGCTAAGGTCATTAGTCCCGTAAGTGCAGTGCATCCTTTTTATACTCGCGGGGTGGCGGTGATATTCCCCTGCTGGGTGGTGATCTGGTGCCGAATCACCGTCGGCTAGCGGGGTTTCCCCCAACCAGGTACGTCCCACCGACGTGGCAGGGCCCAGCCGGGACAAACACAGGTTTCCTGTCACGTGTGGTACTATAATGCATGTTAGTGTAAGCGTGTGTAAGTGAGGGGTGAAGATAGGAGAGGGAAAAGAAGGAACGTTTTCGCGCGGTCCGTGACCCGTTTGTTAGGATACTGCTGCGGCATTCGCCTGGAATTAATCAGTTGAACCACGGAAAACTTCCGGTCAGAGCAGCAGGCCACTAGAATTCTCATCCGGGTAGCGACTGAATTCGACCTAGCTGACATGCAAGCGTCAAAAATCCTTCCTCAGTCGGTACACGAACCTAGGATCTCTCGATCAGAGGCACTGCTGTGACGTCACTTGATGGTCTAAGCATCAGGAAAGGAATACCGCCACCACTCGGCTTAGAACACGCATTACACTCACAAGGCATGCCCATAATAGTCGTTGCGCCCGGAAACACTAAATACTCACTCGTAATACATCGAGGAAAGTATGCCCTAGGACGAAGTTAACACACTTCGTGAAGACGGACTTCCAGGACTAGAGAATCAAGTACTACCTACATGACTTCGAAATTTTCTCGGTGTGGAAAATGGTTGAAATTCAATCCCCCAAATTTAGATTGCTGACAGTGACATTTTTAACAAAATCTTTTTTGAAATATAGTATGTTCTTATTTTGCACTCTCTCAGGGGTTATAATTAACAGAGGTTAGAAAAGGTGTTTGAAACTCAATATTCCGCAAACTGGCTTTTTATATTAATCTCTTATTCATTCAGAGTATTTCCGAAAAAAAGAGCTGAAACAGGACATTAAGCTTTATTATTTATTTTAATCTAACACTCATTTATTCTCATTGAGAACAACCTTGTGCAACACTGAAATTATATTTTTTTCATTCCTTTTGAACCCTTCTTTTCCAAAAAAGGGACGACCTTTGGTAACTCCCATTACTGTGATTATGACCATAAGTTCTGACTTTCGCGTTTAAGCCATAGGACACGAGTACGTGTGCATTTACCGACCTCACAGGTGCACTGACGTGTTTTATGACCCGCTCTAGCGCCGAACCTAAGCATCTCATGTGCAGGATTTAGCTGCTTCGCCTGTCTCTGTGTCTGTGCTCATTCTTTCTGAAACATTCCCAACAATGCTTACTGTTTGGTATTTTTTCACTTTTTTTTAC